CCATTAAATGTTCCAGATAAATATAAAGATTTTATTTGGTTTGTTACACCTAAAGACATAATTCGAAAAATGGTCATCGATTATGAACGAAGTCAAGAACCTTATTCGAGACCAGAACCATTTCGTCCGAGAATGGATGATCAATAAATCATGAAAAATAAAGTGAACGTTTTCGTATTTCTAGAAGATTTACATTCGATTTTATTTTTATGCTATAAAATTATTTTTCTAATCAGCAATTAATCAGCATATAAATCTGATTATAAATATATACAGCTATTTGCAACAAAATAAGCTTGAATATTTTGCTTGAAGTTATTGTTTTCTTTAGATATATACTCGGAAATTGTTGCATCTTTGAAATCATAGGGTACCACACAAAAAATATTCTATTGTACGCTTATTGAAAGTTTTATTGATTCAACATTCAAAGAAATAATATGAAAACATTATTGTTCCATTAGAGATCATTGCAGGCGACTTTTCCATCATGCCCCGCCATAGAAGGCAGGGTGCCTGACAAGAGAACAAGACAGTTGGTGTTTTTGCTCATGGCAAATTTAAAAGTCGAGGAGACACCTCTTGTATATTTTTCTGAGGACTATTTACTACTATGATTACAGTCAATGTTTCAATATATAACGAAAAAGTTGGATGTGAGTGTGGACAAAAACCTAGACTCATAGTCACCCGTAATTGAATCGATTTGATCCCATTAGATAGGAGTGTTGATTACAAGTATGGTTAAGTGAGTTGCTTTTAGTTCTGTTATAAGTATCTTGTAATTTGTAGATGAATTATAGGACATCACATGTTTTTTATTAATATTAATTATATTATATTCTTGTTGTATTAAACTAAGTGGTTTCTATTTTACTATTCTCAATTATAATATTTATAATACTAATATATGAATTATTCTTTTTTATTTTCTTCTTGCTTTCATGTTATTTCCTATGTGCATATTCAAGAAGAAAATAAGATGTGTATAGATTAAAAAGAAAGTAAGAAAGAAACGCAAAGAGGGCAATTATAGCAGATAGAAACAAACGATAAAGTTCAAATAATAAGAAATAAAATTAACACGAAAACAAAAAACAAAGGAAAAAAAAGTAATAGTAAAACTGTATAGGGATATAGAGACTTTATTTCATTTTTCTTAAAATTCAATTGATTTTGATAAACTATAAAATGAAACATCTTCAACTTCATATATACGTAAAGTAAGAGGACGATTATTTTTATTTGTTAAAGTTTCACTAGTAGGCACAATTGAATATTTCTCATTTTCGTTTCGTTCTAAATATTTACATTTATTGGTTTTTCTCCTGTTTCATAAACAGCTATCATTCGTTTCTTGGACTAAACTTGTAAGTTGTAAACCACTTGAATTCGTTGTATTACTTGAATTTGAATGTATTTTTATTCGACAACATTTTAATAAATTATATCTAAAACGTCTTATACGTAATAATAAAATCCCATCATCGTATACATATGAAAGATCAGTGGGATTTGTTAGCTTTTCAATAATACAATATTGAAATACGTGTAAAAAATAAGACATTTCAGAACGAAATTCTCTTAGTGTAAGTGAATAAATAATAATATTCACTGAATGCTTAAGATTCATTAAAATAATATGAAAAATTTTAATTAATACTATTACTGCATGTCGATAATTATTATTGTCATCTTGAACATATTCATATATAGTTAAAAATATAACGATTGGAGCTGCTAAACTAATAAAAATAAGATTGACAGTGATTAACATCACATATATATTGCAATGATCATATAAACGGCAAGTTCATTCAAAATCAGCTAAAAATGATGAATGAACAAATATTAAAGTAATTATTAATGTACAAGCAATCATTATTAAAACAAAATATAAAGATTTATTTCATTTATTTATTTATTTAACTTGTAAATGGTATAAATAAATTCACAGTAAGATCAATCCAAATTCAATAGCGATAAAAATTTTCATGTTCAATTGAATTTTCAAGTGAACAATGTATAGCATGAACACAAAAAATATAGTACGGCTTCAACGAGTGTCACACGATGACGCTGACTTTTGCAATAATTGTTTTTGTATGTTTCTTTTTGCTATATGTATAACTGCATAAAGAGAAGATAATGGTTTTATCTCAGTGCCGACAGTCAAAGATTATAAATATTGTATTTATTATTCGCTGCAATACAAAAATAGTAAGTAAAAAATCAGATCTATGAGTACATTCAACAACGTGTATGTAACAGACGGCGCATAATGCATGGAAACTTTGTGTATATTTCGACGTTAAAATAGTTGTTCCATATATGTGTCTTTGTGATGAGATACTTTTCGACCTTGAGAAATAGACTCGTTTCGATACACAAGCAATACGTTTTTATAATGGCTTTTAAAGAGTCGTGGATTTTAATCTTAACTAATTATATTTCTACTAATGTCGTCTCACATGTGACATCTTACAGTGTTGAGATTAAGATTATTTAGCAGCCACCTTCTGTTATCAAGGAAATATAAATATACTGAATTCCCTTTACATGTTGCTGTTGAATTTTTTTGCGTATGTTACATGACGCTGGCGTGCTGATAGATAATTTCATGATCTAGCAATTCTTGATTTTCGGATTGTGATGTAATACTGATTTCTTACTAGAAGGAGTGTATAAACATTAGGATTTACGTCTCTGTTGAAATAGTCCAAATGTGGTAGATGAATATTGAGAAATAGAACAATATTTTCAAAAAAAAATGTTGATGTAATGCAATCATCATTATGCATCATCTACTAGTTTAATTTCAATTGAACACTGTCATCTTAGACTGATCAGATATAGTCTTATAGAAATTTGTTAGCAATCAATCAAAAATTCATTAAGTCTAGCTTACAATGACTTTTGAATAGTAAATCACTGTTGAAAAATGTTCTCTTACGAATATGAAAAACGCAGAACAAGAGTAAAAAAATGTCATCGCATTATGTAGAATTACTATCAAACGGAACCTTTTTCAAAAAAAAATACATTCGTCAGGTAGCCCATAAAAAATCTAGCTTTAGGTATATATCTTTGTAAAAAAAAAAGTTGAGATTAACTGGTGAAAAACAAACAATGTACATTTTTCGTTATACGCGATGACGCTATAAACAGGGTACTGTTACTTAAGCTGGCCGCTAAAAACTATGATACATAGAAAAATCGAATGTTGTACCAAAAGATACATTTATTATCATAGTCTTAAACAGTCTTAATCAACGTTGTAATATATCAAGCTGTTTCAAAATACGAATTAGGTTAATTAATAGTCCTAATGAGGTAATATCCGTTTTCTATTAGTAACCTCTCTTTTACTAATTACTACATGCGATTTAAAATACTTATTAACGAAACAGAATATGTTTCCATACGTTTTAGACTATGCTCTACAAGAGGGCAATCATTACTTTTAAAAATGACGGCTTCAAACTCCCAGTTCTTTAAGTTACGCGTTTAGGCCGATATTCGTATCTCACGGCAGAAACAGTGAAAAAGCTGAAATTTTCAGAATAAACTGGTATCGTGCAGAACATTATTTGTGCAAAGTCTCAAGTTAAAACTCTAAAGTTAATTTTCAACGTGCTCTGAGGGGTACTACAAGCTTTTGTTGAAAGATTCAGTAAAAAAACCTATTCTTTGGTAATCTTACAAATATAAGAGGCTAAATAATTACAGCTAATCAGCATCAAGTGCAAAGTGTAACTACACAAAATACCAAGTTTTTAGTTACGGTAAATGAGGAGATTGTTCCTAGCTCCCTTTCCTCTTCACGCTGCACCATACCCTATATCTCCTTCCATCTCTTACATCTTCGATGTGTTTTCTGCAGATGACTCTTTTATTCTGAGTCTATTGCAACATCGAATTCTCGATGCGCTCTCGAAATCGGCAATGGATTTCTGAACTCAAAAACATCAACACTATCTGTCGCATCCTCATCCCTTTAAAACTTTGGAGGAATAAGATAATAATACAGCATATTGAATGAAAGAAAAAAATCATTATTTCTTTTCATTGATTGTTT